CTCTCTGTCCCCACAGTGGCTGCTGGCCTTTATGGAAAAGCAGAGGGCACAAAGCGCATGGGGAAGTGATTGCGAGCCAAGGTAATTTTGAAGAATGACCCACAAAGCCTTCAAATTGACTTAAAAACCCTGCCTGGCCTGCAGAGCAGTTTCCAGTACTGGAGTCCTGATAGAGATGTTTACGAGAAAGCTGCTTTTGTTTTTGTTTTTCAGCTTACAGACGCAGCAATTTGCTCCCAGAAGAGCAGTTCCATGTCCTTGTGTTTCTTTGAAGTGTCTGCAAACACAGTGGCTGTGCGTCCCTACGTGTTGCTGCCTTCACTGCACATTTAATGGGGAATTATCCTCCAGTACGATGTTGCAGAAGGAGGGCTGTCGTTCTGGCCTTGATAACTCAGCATTGCAGCTTTGTGGTTGGAAAGCATTTCAAGAATTGCTTCTGCACATGGGTTTCAATAGGTAGCCCAACCAGGCAAAATTAGGAGAAATGGGATGTCTTTGTTCTGAGTGGAGCCACTAATGGTCATGGAAAGCAAAAGTTTTCGAGCCAAAAGAAAAACCACGTCCTGCTCTCCCATTGTAGGGTTCTTCATCGCAGCCAGCAGGTCTTGCAAAAGAAAAGGTGGTGCTGGCACAAAACCCCATGTTCATCCTAGCAAAGCCCCAAACCATGTGCATCACAGGCTGTGTATTTCCTGCAGGACCCCTTGGATATCTGCATTTAGCCCAGGTGAACTTTTCTAAGGGGCTGAACTTCTGAGGCTGCTGAAGATGAGATAGTGGGCACTCAGGGCAAATATACACTCCCTTTCTGCTCCTGCCACTGGATTACGACAACCTCCCTTGCTGCAGAGCCTCTCCTGTCTGATCTTTGAACACCACCACCTGTTTGGGGGGGTAAGAGGGCTGAAGAGCATGGAGCAGACCATCCCTGCCAGTGGGCAGCACCACCAGGATGTGACATTTAACAGCATAGACAGTGTTGCCATGGTCCATGACATGTGTCTCTACTGTGACTACTCTGAGCTAAAACCCTGCTAGAGGTTTTCCGAGGGGGAGTCCATGCTGGCTGAAGGCGTGTTTGGGCAGAGAGACCTCCCTGTGCTGAACCAAGAGGCTACAAGAGGAGGTTGGGGGGTGACTGGCACCATTTTGAGGCTTCCTGGGAGAGAAGCAGCCCAAGAGAGGTGGGCTGAGGCCCCAGGGCTGACCCCACGGAGGGTGGCACCAGGTCCTCCTCTGCAGGGTGTGAGGGGACAAGGCATGAAGCACAAGTCCTGGTGTCCACTGTGCCTCTGCCCAGCCTCTGGGAGGAGCCAGAGGGAACAAAAACATGGATTTATTTGCTTTTGTGACCTTTGAAGCTGGGAACTGCCCTCCAAACCATTTTTCTTGCAAGGAAGGTGTGTGCTGGAGGGGTCTGTGCTGCAGATCAGAAGGCAGCAGGGTTAAAACGGGCTCCCCGGGGAAATTCTACATTTCGGCAGGGCTTGGGCTGAATGTAGCAAATGGTGAAGGGAGGGGAGCCATTCCCTGGACTTGTGCTGGGAGCCTTGCAGCCTGTCCTGAAAGAGAAGGAAACAAAACTCCAAGGGCTTTATCCGTCACCCCCATGTTGAGAATAGAGGACGAGAGAGTGCAAAGTGCTGTATCCCTCAGGGGATCTGACACGACTTGTTCCTTCCCTCGATTCCCAGCCAGGTCTCACCCCCCCTCCGGGGCAGGCACAGCGAGGTCAGCCCAGAACTGGGGCTCCTTGCAGAGAGGACGGGGAGAGATCAGGCCCAGGCCATGCACGGTGCCCTTTGTGCCCTCCCACCCTCCATCCTCCCCTCCGGCAAAGGCGTTTGGATCTTCTGGAGGAGAAATAAAGAATGAAAATATAAAAAAGCCAACGCAAGGCATTGCTGCGGGAGGGGTGTGGACATCACCGGGGGGGGGTGTGATGTGCTCTCTTCGTGGTATTGCCCCCACATCAGCCAGGGGTACCTGGAGCTGAGATGGAGTCTGATCCTCACGAGCCTTTAATTGGATGCATGAAAGGACCAAAACACAACCAGTTCTCGTGCTTCCCCCCACCACGAGCTGCACCAGCTCCTTGCCTCACCCAGCCTCCTTTCCAACCAGGGTGCTGGTGAGGGCCAAACATTGCACAGATCTCCACACACCCCCACTTTTTGCCCTCCCAAGGGCACGCCACACTCAGGTGAGGGGCAGCCAGGTCACCGAGGGACAGTGTTCAGCGGCACTGGTGCAAACTGGAGCGCGGAGCTGGGCATGTGGGGAGCATCGCCAGGGCCAGGCAGCAGCTGGGGCACAACTCCCGGCCTGCAAAGGCTGGCGTGGCCTTCCCGAGGCTCCTGCAGCCACCAGCCCTCCCTCCAAGCCTGCTTCCAAGCAGCAGCAGCCCAGCAGCCCTCCTCTGGAGCTCCAGGCTGGGACAAAGCACCCGGGCTAAGTGGGCCTTCTGTCCCCAGCTGCACCGGGGCCAGGCTCGCCCCAACCTGTGAGCCTTTTGCTTTCCTCTTTTTTTTTTTTTTTTTTTTCCTCTTGCAAAATCAATTTGCGGACAGCTCACTCCTTTTTCCCCCTCGCAAACTTATTAGCTATTCAGCCCCGGCGAGCACTCGTAAGCATCCTTTGTCCCAGGGAGGGCTGGAGCCCCCTTCATTAGCAGTGATTACCCTGAGCAGTTTGACAGCCTCCCAGCCCGCTTACAAGACTTTCCCATTCAGCCCTGCCCGGGGCTGCCCCGTTTCTCAAAAGAAACGGAAATATTCAAACATTTCTCTCCCCCCCCCTCCCCAGCTGAATAGAGGAAAAGCTGTTTCTCTTCCCCGCCCTCCCCATTCACTTCACTTCTGATACAATATTTTCCTTCTTTGTCAAACCGGAGAGAGAGGGGTCGAGGCAGACTTTTTAGCGCCCCTGTGCCGAGCGTTTTGTTTAATGTAAATACAGGCTCCCCCTGCCTTGCCCCCGATGATGATTATTATGATTTTTAAAACAGCCGAAAGCTCGGGAGGGCGACGGCTGGGGCCGACCTTATTAAACAAGAAAACGGATGAAAAAACGCCAGGGGAAGGGCATTCCCTTCCAGGGTGGGAAGGGAAAGGGGCAGAGGGGAAAACCAAACCCGATTTTTCCTCCGCAGGTTGCGGCGGAGATGCCAAACGGCAGCGCTCGCAGCGCCCCAAACCTCCGTTGAAATTCCGAATATGCGCCCCCCCTTGCCCCAGTCCCATTTTGTTTTCTTTTTTCTTTTTTTTCCTTTTTTTTTTTTTTTTTTTTAGGTGAAAACCCCTCGTTCGTGTATTTGTCTGCCTCTGCACTTGTCTTTCCCGGGGCTTTAATTCCTAAACGCTAAGCCTGCAAAGCCCGTGGAGAAATCTCGACCCGCTGCACCCGTCTCCGGGAAAGAAATGAAATAATAGGGCGCATTTGAGCACATTCCGTTCTCTGGTGGGAGAAAAAAATCGTATTTTTTACTTCTTTTTTTTTTTTTCAAAAAACTCCCTGGTGGAAAGTGCCGCCCGTTCCCAAAATCCGGCCCCAAACTGGGTGCCTGGGTCCGAGCATCCCAGCGCGGTGTGCTGGGGACAAACCGGTGGCTTTTAGGGTTTTTCTTCGGGCCGACAGAGCCGGTGCCGTGCTGCAAGCAGGGCTCCGACCCCTCTCTCAGGTGGGGAAGCCCCATCTCTGTTCCCCCTCCCAAAAAATCGGGATTTACCACACCACGATTTGCTTTCTCCAGCCACCGCAAAGAAACCCAGCCGGGGCACCAGCTCCTTGAAAACAACCCTAAAAAACCCACCTCGCAAACCTCTGCCCCACAGAAAGCTGCAGCAGCCCCGGACCCATCAATCGGCTTAGAGGGGAGGCAGCTCCCTGGGGACGGGGAGGCGGGGGGGGGGAGAACAACGCCTGGACCCGGCAGCCAAAAAAAGCACAGCTCAGGAGCTTTAAAGATCAACGTCAAATTGTATAAGAGAAAAGCCTTCTGCCGGGAGAAAAAGCTTAGCCCTGCTCCTCCGAGCTGCCGTTTGGTCTCCTCCAGGAAAATCGCTGCGAAACAAAGCGAGGGGGGAGGACGGAGGGGACAGCCCTGCCCCGGAGCCGGGCTGGGTTTTTTGGGGTCTCTCGCCCCCCATCCGGCCCTTCCCGGTAAGTCCCCGGCTTCCCTTTGCTTTTGCCGGCTCGGGGAGAAAACCTGGCTTTTCCTTGGCGTCCCCGGCTGGGCTGAACCCAGCTGCTTCTTGCCCTTTTTCCCCCTTTTTTCTTTCCTTTTTTTTTTTTTTTTTTTTTCCCTATTTTTTTTTTAAATATATTATTTTTCCTCCATCCCTCCCCGGCAATTCGCCGCCGACAATCCCCAAAATCTCACCCCTTGGAATACAAAAAACCGCGGCGATGCCTTCTCCATCCCCATTCTCCTTCCCTTCCCTGGGCACCCGCATCCTCCAGCAACCCCAACCCTGCTCCCATCGCCTCTTCCCGGCTCCCCCCGACCCCCCAAGCCCCCTGCCTTGCACGGACATCACCCCCGGTGGCGAGCACCCGGCTATTTCGGTTCCTGCCGAGCTGATGCTGAAATGCTCGTGGCCTCCGAGATCTGCTCCGCATAAACCGGCGGGCTGGAGACCGACACCGTCATTTCAAAGCAGATCCGAGGGTCGTTCACCAAATATTTTATTATGGTTTTAGGCTGCTTCATACAGTTTCGTCCTGCACATGCTCTACAAGTCACCTGTGCACATAGAGAACAAGCCAAAAAATAATAATAATTAATAATAATAATAATAGAAAAAATCTACCATAGCAATCCCTTAAATAAGTAAATAAACATTATATATATATATATATAAAAACCCTTTAAAGTAAAGCGAAACCCAACCAAAAGAACAGCGTCTTTTCACCATGAAGCACCCCCGCGGGATAAGCGCAGGCGCTCGGACATTTTGCAGCTTGGCATTCGTTTTTTTTATCTTATTTTTTATGTATTTTTTTTTTTACGTTTTGTGATTTATTTACTTATGTATTTCTATTTTTTTTTTTTTAGGCATGAACTCTGCGAATCCTTCGAAATAAAGGCGGCGACGACTTTTGATCCCGTTTTTTCTTTTTTTTTTGTGTGTGTGTGTGTGGTTTGTTTGCTGAATGCAGTCCGCTGCGGGGGCCGCGCTCCGTGCCCCCCACGGGCTGGCACCGAGTTGTTGGGGGGGGAGAGCTCGACCTGCCGGCTCTCCCCCCCCGCACCCCCGGCTTTGTCGTGGATGTCGGCGTCAGATGTCACATTCACTGTCGCTGGATGTGATGGAGATGGCGGAGGTGGCCGCCTTGCTGGAGAGGCTGGCGGCGGGGCTGGAGGGGGCCCCCAGCGCCTCCCCGCCGCTCTCCTCCTCCGCTTGCAGCGAGCGCCCCGAGCCCTGCGCTAGCACCTGCTGCTGTAGCCTGCAAGGAAGGGGCACACACACAGCATCACCGCCCGGCCCCCGCTCCCCCCCGGGCCGCCCCCAACCTCCAGTTCAACCCAGTTTCCCCAGTCAGACTCCGTCCCCTCTCCGGCAGGGGTTGCGGGGACAGTGGGACCCCTCCCCGGGCTCCAAAACACCGGGGGATCTGCTCCCCGCGCTGCTTGTGCCGCTGCCAGGCGTTGTGGGCAGCTGTTTTGCTCTTTAAGGGAAGGGAAAAAATAGAAAAGAAAGAAAAAAGTGACCCAAGGCACGCTGCGAGGCTTAGTGCAAGATGGGGGGAGAGTAAGGACGTGGGGCCGGAGCGCCGGGGAAGGGCTTTGCCGGCTCTGCCCCACGCAGCCCTACGTGAAATTGGGCTCGGTATGGCCGGGGAAAACTTTGAAGGGGGTTTTGAAGCCGCGAAGGGCCCTTTTTCCTCCCTCCAGGCTCTGCTGAGGTCACGGCAGCATCCCCAGCCGGGGGGTCCCATCATAAAAATTAAAAATAATTTTTAAAAAAAGAAAAAATAATACAAAAATGAAAATAAAGGGAAATAAAAAGAATAGACAACCCCGTAGGCTTTTCCCCCTCTGCTCCTGCCTTGGCTCGCTGCTTTTCCCCGGGAGAAACTCCAGCATCACGGCGGAGAAGCGAGCCCGGGGGGGCTCGGGGCCGGGCGCCCCGACGGGGCGGGCAGCACCTACCTGTTCTTGGCGGCTGCCGCCCTGTCCCTTTGCCTGCGGTTTTTGAACCAGTTGCCCACCTGCGTGGGGGTAAGTCCCGTGGCCTGAGCCAGTTCCCGCTTTTTGCTGGGGTTGGGGTAAGGGTCCTGCAGGTACCACTCCCGCAGCAAATGCCTCGTCCGCTCCTTGAAGCAATGCGTCTTCTGCTCGCCGTCCCAGATGGTGCGGGGCAGGGGGAACTTCTTCCTCACCCGGTACTTGTCCACCGGCCCCAGGGGTCGCCCCCGCAGCTTCTCCGCCTCCTGGTAGTGAGCTTCCAGCCAGAGGGCTTGCAGCTTGGCGTGGGACTCCTTGGTGAACTTGTGGTTCTCCAGGATGTGGTAGAGCTCCCGGTAGTTCCCCGTGTGGAAGGCCACGATGGCCCGGGCTCTCAGCACCGACTCGTTCTTGTTGAGAGCCTCGCAAGCCGCGGGGGCCACGGGCAGGGACCAGAGGAAGCGCCCCAGGCGCTCGATGTCCCCGCTCTCCTCCAGGGTCTCGCATACCCCGGCCACCTGCTGCGGGCTGAAATTGAGGATGGGCAGCTGGAACATGGAGGCGGCGCCGGGCTCCCCGCTCCTCTCCCCTCTCCGAGCACCCCCGGCGCCCCCCGGGCACCGGCCCCGCGGCGGGGAAGCGGCCGGCGGCCCCCCCCCCGCCCCAGCGAGGCCTCTCCTCGCCCCTCCGCTGCCTTCTCCCGAGCCGGCGGAGCTGCCCCCGCTGCAAAGAGGGAGAGGAGATGGGGAGAGCTCGGCAGCTCCGGCGACTGGGGGGCGGTGGGTTGGGGAGAGGAGGAGGAGGATGGAGAAAGAAGAAGGGGGGAGGGAAGGAGGGAGGGCGAGGAGGGAGGGGGGGGGGAGGGATGGGAAAGAGGGGGAGAAAAAAAAAAAAAAAAAGGAGAAAAGGGTAAAAAAAAAAAATAGAAAAGGCACAAGCAAAAGCTCCACGCCGCCGCCGCGCTGCTGCGGGAGCGGCTGATTCGCTGCCGGGCTCGGGAGATTGGCTCCGGGTTTCCATGGCGGGGCTGCCACTCACGGCCCCGCGCTGCCAATCACCGGCAGCCCGGCCCCGGCGCCTCCTTCCCCGGCACCGACGGCAAGCGGGGCCCCGGGCCGCCCGGAGAGGGTCCCCGTCCCGCTGCCCTGCGCCCCGACCCGCTGCCCGGGGCACCATCCCTCTCCCTGTCCTCCCCATCCCTCTCTCCATGTCGCCATCCCTCTCCCCGGGTCCCCATCTCCATCCCTCTGTCCCCATCCCTCTCCCTATGTCCCCATCCTTCTCCCCATGTCCTCATCCCTCTCCCCATGCCCCCATCCCTCTCCCCATGTCCCCATCCTTCTCCCCATGCCCCCATCCCTCTCCCCATGTCCCCATCCCTCTCCCCGTGTCCCCATCCCTCTCCCCATGTCCCCATATCTCTCCCTATATCCCCATCTCTCTTCCCATAACCCCATCCCTCTCTCTCTGTGTCCCCATCCCTCTCCCCATGTCCCCATCCCTCTCCCCGTGTCCCCATCCCTCTCCCCATATCCCCATCCTTTTCCCCGTGTCCCTATCCCTCTCCCCATGTCTCCATATCTCTCCCTACATCCCCATCCCTCTCCCCATGTCCCCATCCCACTCCCTGTCCTCCCCGTCCCGCAGCCCCCATCCCACACATCCCACACCGCCCTTCCCGTCCCGACCGGAGGGAGAGGCTCAAAAGGGGTCGCCGGTGGGGACCCCCGGGGCTCGGGGCGCTGTGGGGTCGGACCGGGCAGGGAAGGCAGGGCCGAGGAACCGGACCCAAATCGGCTTTTAGGGTCGCACCGGTGCGGCGGGGAGTGCCAGGGACAATGGATGCAGACGGAGGGCTCCGGGAAGAGCCGAGGTTTACGGGAAAACTCCCCCCCGTTTCCCTATAAGCGAGACGAGGAATTCATCGCCCCTCTCTGTTCTCCCACAGCTTTATGATTTCTCCCCCTCCCCTAACATTTAAAACCTTATTGTTCTCGGCTGAGTGGCCCCGACCAGCCGCCGAGAACAGCGGCGGGGAGTGAGAAGTCATTTGTAGGTCAGGACAGCGACTCGAAGCAGATTTCGGGAATCTTTTGAAATATTGATCACCTCGTAGGCAGCCTCCGTGCGGGTTTATTTCTCATCCCGGGCCGGGAAGGGAAGCACCCGGGGGCTGGGAGGGTCCCGGTTGTTCTCCGGGAGAGGGAAGCAAATAGGCAGAAGCCGCTCTTTATTCTGCACATAGCGGCTCTGTGGCAATTTCTTCCCGGGAACATTAGGGGCCATGCTCGGAAAGGCAGCATATATTTTGAATTAAGCTCAATATGCTCTTTCCTCCGCCTTTTGCAATGCACTTTTTTTTTTCTTTCTATTTTTTTTTTTTCTGGAGCACTTGTCAAAGAAATGCCTCCTTAATTTGATATCTCGCCGTTGACTCTTTCCCCCCCTCTCATTCCTTCATTTTTATTATTACCATTCGTGTTGGTTTTGTTTCCCTTTCCTTCCTTCTTTCCGAAAGCCCCTTTGCTAGCTACCCACGGACCGAAATTAAACAGATTTATATTTTCTCCCATCATTTCTCCGCAGAAAGAAGCCGGGCTGGGGCTCGCCGTCTTTTCTTTAGTATCAAGTACAATTTGTCTTTTGCTTGTGAAGATTTGGTAAATCAGAAGGCAGATAGATAGCGCAGATGGTCGGAGGTGTCGGGTCAGATTATGGTACGCCTCAGTACAGTGCTAAGCTCATTCTGACGGAAAACCCTGATATTATTTTCACAGATCTACACAGTTCACTTGAAAAAAACCCTCCGAGCCATTTACATCATTTATGTGAGGCTCACAGCTAGCGGGATGGAAAAGCTTTCAATACTGCTCATTTTCATAAAACCCGACAGAGCCGGGGAGACAGAAAAGCACAGACAAAACTCACTAGTTCAGGGGCACTCCGCAGAAACTTGAAAAAAAATAAATAAAAAGGGGGACTTTTCGGCTTCACTTTACAGAGCCAGGTTAGGTTTCCGCTTAGGGAAAAGGGGGGGAAAGAAAAAAAAAATCAGAGAAGGGGAAAATATCTGCAAACATTGCTGAGGTTCAAAAGGTGATGGAGAGTCCCCTTTCCACCCCATCCATGTCCTCTCCGCTGGGGAAAAAAAAAAAAAAAAAAAAAAAAAAAGAGGGGGAGAAAAAAAGAGTAACTTGAGCGGCTCAGTGAAAGGTCCCAAATAACCAAGGGTGAAAAATAAAAACCCCAAGCTCCTCGGTGTGAGCATCGGGCTTCCCAAGGGAACGGGTGGGACGGGGCGACCGCTGCCCCCGCCCGGCCGCCCCCTCGAGCATCCCGGGCCGGGCCGGGGCAGAAAACCCCTGGCCGGGAGGTGGAAAGGTGGAAAGGCTGTGCTGCTGGGTGCCTAATTCCTCCTGGCCGTGTGAGGGTGATGATTACTAATATTACTGTAGGATTTTTTTTTCCTTTTTTTTTCCTTTTTTCCTTTTTTTTTTTTTTTTTTTGAAATCGTGCACATGATCTGGCGAAGGGAGTTACTGGGCTGCAGCCTAATGACCATGAACAGAGCGAGCCAGGCTCCATAATGAAAGCCAGGACTGTAGGCTAAAGAAATGAATCCTCATTAAGAGGAGGGAGAGCGGCTCGCAGGGGCGAGGGGCTGTCCCCCGGTCCCCAGCCTTTGTTCCCCAGGAACCGGCCCGGCTGGGGAGCGCTGGAGGATCTGCTGCGAGGGCGGGGGGGTGAAAGAAAGGAAAGGCAACACTGAAAAAAAACCCTAGGAATCCTGCCTTCACCATTTAAAAGGTGACCCGAGGGGGAAAACCAGCCCAGCTCCTGCAGCTCTGCGCCCTCTCCAGCTCCGGACTGGGGAAGTGGCACGGCCCGGGGGGGTCCTGGCCGGCGGGGGGCTTCGTTGTGTGTCACCAGCACCCAAACAGCATCCCCCGGGGTGTCCCCGCTGTGTTTCTGTAGTTTTATTTTCCCCAAATACCAAGGGCACCGTCCGTTACATTCAGAGCCAGCACCAACAACCTTAATTTAAGGCACGGCTCCGACCCCCGCTACAGGTAGCGTGCGGGGTTATCCCTGCACAGAGGGACCCACTGGAGGCTGAGGGATAAAATTGCACATTAAAAATAAAGATTAAGCGAAAGCCCTGCACGGTCTGTCCTTTGGCCTGCGGACCGCGGAGCATCCCAGCCCTGGCAGCGGCAGAGCTGTGCCCCCCCCAGCCCGGCAGCGCAGTCCCTTGCGGTCCTTTCTGCAGAAGGAGTTTTCTAACGCCGCCGAGGTGCGAATACACTTTTTTTAAAGCCTTTGATTGGCGTTAAGGATTGCATTAAAAAATAAAAAATAAAAAAAATCCCCCCCTGGGAAGGAGAAGCCTCACTTTAGAGGTCTCGGCGGGCTCGCTGTGGTAGTTCACCAAGTGATGCTCACCGGGTCTGCAGCGCTGGCTGAGAGCCCCTGGGGCGGCTCCCCGGGAAATCAGGCGGCGTTTTTGTGCCTCGGACCCGGAGGGATGCTCCGGGTCGGGCAGGATCCGGGGAGCATCCCTGGTGGCTTTGCCCCCCGGCCCGGAGGAGCAGGGATGCTCGGCCGGAGCCCTTGGCCCCTGCGGGACCGGCTGGGGGTCTCTCGGGCTCCCGCTGGGCTGATGTGGGGGGAAACGCCCGGGTTTCGTTGGTTTTCGTGTGCTCGCCTTTCTTATTTTTAGTGTTAAGAGCACCAGGATTGCTGAGAAAGCAGTTACCAGTCTTTCCGTTTCTCCCTAAAAAGGGCTGTGTTTAAAGCCGTAATTTGCTCAATGTTAAAGAGTTTGCAGGCTGGGTCCTCGCTTAAAGTTCCGAAAACCTTCGGAAACTCTGGAGAATCCCTTAAAATGCTGCCGGACAGACAGGGGTGGTCCCTCGCTTTTCACTCTCACCATGTATTGATCAAGAGTTTGTCCTGCGGATTACTTGGGTTCCCCACAATACGAAGCATCAGACCACAGGCAGTGTATTTCGCGTTAGAAATAAACACTGGAAACTCAAAAACCGGAATTATTTGGAGACTGGAGAGTGAAAACCCTCCTTGCACAGGGCCCTGGCCAAGGCCAGGGCTGCAGGCAGGATGGATCTCCCACATCCGAGCTCTCTCTTCAGTTTTCTTGAGGTTATGGGCCTGGTTTAGGGCCCCCGATGCACCCGGATTTGTTTCCCCCCTGCCTCTACCCACAGATAAATTCACACAGTACCGAATCTCCTATTTATCTGGGGTGTGTTCACTTAAAACCCTCATTCTGCTTAAAATTTCTGGTTTCCATCAGGGTTTTATCTGAAAATTCGAAGAAAAGGAAACAAAATTTAAAATGTTCGATTAAATATGGAAGTTTCTGCTCATACACGTTTCCTCCCCAAAACATTCCCTCTTTTACACTTTTTTTCCCATAGGAACAGCTCCTTTGAGAAAAGAAGGTGCACGTGCGGAAAAATATTTCGTGTCTTAGAAATTGAAAGAAAATCCCTCAAATACCGCATGCTCTCCCAGGACGGGGACGGGGGCTGTCACCAAACCACCTATTTAACGGAACACAGCAGTGGGGACAATTCAGGTGTTTGGGGAAGCGTGAGGGACCAGGATGAGAGACCCTGGGACAGTTTGGTGCCCACGTGTGTGTCTACACGTCTTCTGGAGTTGTGCACATGGGGCAAAGCTGGCTCAGGGCTGATCTGGGACCCCAGAGGATGCTCGCTGCGGATGGAGGCTGCTCGAGGGGGAGCTGGGGTCCCTCGTTTTTTGGCGAGGGAGCATCTCGGCAGCTTTGGGGGCTCTGTCAGCAGCAGCACGCCCAGGGCAGTCCAGCTCCGGCTCCAGCTCTGGCACCCTGGGCTCGGAAATAGGGTCAGGGGCACCTGCCAGGGTTGCTTCCCCCTCGGCATCTCCAAAATCCTGCCGGCACCCTGTGAGATTGCAGACACCGGCCAGTCTCCTTCTGCGGGAGGAAAACCATGGGAGACCCAAGAAGCGAAAGAAAACGACGCTCCTCTGCTTTCCTCTTGGGGAATCTGGCCCTATAGAGATGTCCCCAGACTCGTTCATGGGGACGCGGGGACAGGGTGTCCTGTCCTCCCTGCGGGGAAGGACCGGGGGTCCTTAGCCCTTTGCATCAGCTGGAGGAGGCTGAGGAGAGCTCGCCGAAATGCAAGGGGCATGTGAAGCCCTAAAAACAAGAGCCGGGTCCACAGAGAGGCAGTGTTAGGGCTCTCCGCGACGGGAGTCACAAGCCCTGGTGGTCTGCCAGGCGGGAGGGAGCTGGTTTGGGAGCCCTTTCAGAGCCCCGCATTGACCATATCTCTTTTCAGGGGAATGCGAGCCATTCAGCATTGATTGGAGATGATACTATGAAAGAGTCCTTCCTGCTTGCTGGTCGATAATGAAAGTAGTTGTTTATGACTTTGGGTTTCTTTAGATGAATGCTGTTGGGAAGCAAGGCAAAACAAACAAGGAGGAACCAGCGGGACACAAAGCCCTCGTTTCTGCAGCCTTCAGAAACCATTTTTGGGTGGATGCACAGTGACAGCCTCGGGTCGGGCGTCCTTGTAATAAATAAATGGGTTAAAGCAGCTCAGGAGCCCCGGAGAACCCCAGTGGGGACCATCTCTTGACAGTCCTTAGAGGGAATTAACCGGGAAGTCCCCGCTGGCTTTATCCAAAGCCTGGTGAAATGACTGGCACCCTTCCGGGTGAGCTCGGGTGGGACCTGTGGGAACCTCAGCCTCTCTTGGTATCGTTGCTTAAAGCACCGGGACATGGAGAGGTGTTAAGGAACACCATCACAGTGTTAAACTCCTCTTCCTAGACGTTTAGGGAAGGGTCTTTAAGAGACTTTCTTAAGGTAGGTTGAAGCTTTGAAGAGATTTCTCGATGGCTTTATTTAACGATTTGTGAAGGGGGGGCTGCAAAACAGCGATTTCCGAGGCCCTAAGGGCATCCAGGAATTAAAGAGTCCCTGGGAGCCAGGCAGGGAGGCTGCTCTCCCCTCCAGGACACCGGGGAGATGCGGAGGGGGGCACAGCGCAGAGGCTGCTTCCACAGGGACACGCTGCTTTTCACGTGTCTCCCTCTTTTCATTCCCCTCCGGCTCTGACCGGCAGCCAGGTAGGTCAGCTATTCCTCTTTGAAGCTGCGTTTTTGTTGCTTCAATTCACTCTTCTGAAAGCAGCATCGCATCTGACCGACACCCGTGCTGCGGGTGGCAGAAACAGTTTTCTGTTTGTCTCTTCTGTCCTGTTTCTATTTTCTCTGCCCTTTCTTCTTTCATCCTCATTGCTGATGTCTTTTTTTTTTTTTTTTTTTTTTTTTTTTTTTTTTTTCTCCATCCCTCCACTCTATACCCTCCTCACCTTTCCCATCTAGCTTATTTTCTTGCGTTTATTGGTAGCTTTAAATCCACCCTCTGCCTTAGTGACAGGGAATAAAACCCAACCCCATAGCTACTACAGTTGGTCGGAGGCAAGTATCAGCTTCTAGCCTCTTCCGAGCTTGGGCTGTGCATTTCTGCCGTGTAATACTGCACATCAATAAATAAAGGCAAACAATTTTGTTAGCGCAACTTCTGTGCAGGCGAGCAGCGAGACCGTCAGCAAGGGCAGGAGCTGGTGGCGTGAATCGGAGCTGACGGGGCTGGTGGCGTCCCCCAGCAGCTTCCCCTTCCAGCCCTGCTCCAGGATGTGAAGAATGACACTTTAATGCGTTTTCAATCCCTCGGAGGGCTGGGCTGCATCTCTGTAGATGTGAAGAAGTCTTTATGTGATCTCTGCTCGGCTTGCTCCGGGGTTAGCTTGGTGCAAAGCGGAGCGCCCTGCTCTCATCTAGCATGAGGGCAACTAGGAAAAATCGTAACATGAAATCATCCCCAAGCACAGGATAAATAAATGTATAAAACACCAACCCCGAGCAGATACTAGGTATTGGCTCGGATCCTCCAGTTACCTAACCTGGTGTAAAGTCGCTGACTTTTCCAGAGTTGCTACAGATTGCACCGGGAAAAGAGGTAACCAGGCGGTCTGCAGGAAGGGCCTGAACTATAACAAAGAAAAAAAAAAACAGTAAACTTGTGTTTTCAACGTTTTCAGAGCCGGGGGCTCCTCCAACACACCTGCTCCCCCACCCGTGGGGCCAGAATCACGCGTGGCACCAAAAAAACCTTTATTTGTTTGCAAGGAAAACTCCCGGGGCCTTGCAGCCCCCTCGCCCGGCCCGCCTGCTCGCTCTGCCCGGCAGGTGGAGCATCCTCATCGCTTTTCACCCGCTCGTGGCTCCCCGAAGAGGAGGGGAAGGCTGCTCCTTCCCTCTCGGCTCGCCGTTCACGGGTTATTTTTTGGGGGACACCCGCACCGAGGCGAGGAGGGCCGCGCAGCGGCGGCGCTGAGGGGAGGAGGCGGCGGGGACAGGCGGGCGCTGCCCCGCCATTTTGCAGCCTCTCTGGGAGGCAGAGGGGTGAAGTAGGCTCGTAGCCGACCCCAGAACGGGCCCTTTGCCGGGTGCAGGGCTCTTCCCGGGGTAGGTTGGCCCTGGGTCGGATTCTTTTTCCCTTCGAGGCCGCGGAGGCGAAGCTGAGGGAGCGAAGCGGTGGTTGTACCCCGCGCCCCCTCCACCTGGCGGCCGGGGCTCAGGCCCTGGATAGCTGTCTTGGCGCCCCTCGTCCTTCCCTTAATGTCAGTGTCTCTAACCACTTCAGGGCCACCACGTCCTGGTCACCTTCCAGGTGCCCATGTCCCCCTAAAAGGTGGAGCGGCCACTGACCGACCCGACCCTGTCACCCCGCTCCCGTCGGGGGCACCCGCTGCTGCGCGGCCATTTTGTGGAGCTCAGTCGCGGGCCGCCAGGTGCACCGCAAGGCGGGTTTTCCCCTACAATTTAGTCAAAAATCGGCTTAATTTTTGAATTTCGAGGAAATCAGAGAATCGTCTACGGCAATAGATTTTAATTTGTATGTGCCCGATTAGGTAAAATGCGTCAGTCGAGGTGTTTAACTCCGGGAGGACTCGACAGACGCGCCCGCAATGAAGGCATGGCACACGAGGCACGGTGGCAAGGCGTTTAAAGTGTTAAAAACAGCGAATTCAGAAATGAAGAGCCGTACAATTATGCCAACTCAGATGTAGTAACTAGCGCTGTAGAATTGTCATCAGTCAGGAAAGGGCTCCGGTGTTGTAAGCAGTGAAAACTGCAGCAGTTGTCACCTTGAATGCGGTCTTCAAGTCTCATTACCGGGTTCCTCAAACGATGTAGCAGAAGAGGGGCAGAGGAGGGTAACAGCACGATGAGAGCCACAGGCTTTTTGCAGACATAAAATTTAGCCCAGAAATGTGAACTCAACTAATTTCAAGAAGCAAACAATCAGTCACGTAAGAGTGTTAAGGGATAATGGAAGAACATAGGAGAGAGAGGTGCGCCTCGATCTCAAAAGCCTTGGTGGAGTTAAAATGATTTATATAAAATTAACAAAAATAGTGGTTTTGCACAGCAATGTGCAGAATTGAGCGTCATAACGGAATTCGAAGGAGTAAGGGTCATATAAATAACACATACATCACAGCTTATTCTAGGAAGATAATACTAGTAAAGGATGCCCTCGTGGTTCAATCTGAGTGCTGGGCATTTGATTTTAAGGAAGGAATTTTTCTCTTATCTTATGGGTATTTTTCACCTTTTAATGAAGAACCAAGTAATGTTGTCAGGTGGGATATGAAACTACATCTATAAGTCTGCTATGAGGTACTGCATTAGTGTTAGTATGGTGATAATAGGTAGATTCTCCGGCAGATAATCAGGCAATTTGTTTGTGATTTCTGCAGTCAGTGCAATCTCGTAATGCATCAAACTTCATTGCCACAGTTTAATTTCATATAATTACATTTATTAATGTGGTACAAAAATGCAAGATGTACAGTAACATTTTTCTCCTGGCAGCGTTCTGAATAGCACTGGCAACATTAAGTGGAAACATCCATTAGAAATGAAGTATTACTGTTTGAAGCTGTTTAATATATGTATTAAATATTCCTCACACTTTAGCATTAAAATCCAGAAAAATGACAAATACATTGTTACCAAAGCTATCGATTTAATCACCACGTCTGATAAAAGTTTTGATTTTTAATTGCTTTGGGAAAAGTAAGTATCCCAACCTTTCCTAAAAACGCCTGATCTTCTGCTGTAGCAGAAGTTGATGGAGCAATTATTCTGCTCTTTAGTACCGGTTTCAGACTTAATAACAGCCTCATATGAGAACATCTTAATTTGTCATCCAATATTGGCTAATGGTTTGATGCAGCTTTTCTTCAGTAGGACCAAGGATCGTTTAGGACAGTCATATCGTGGAAGTTTTCAGTTGTCCAAAATCTAGACGTCTTTTGTTGCAGGCTGGTGCTTACTGCTGCTTTTAAGATCTACAGTAATCCTGTAGATTACCAAGGTAGTTGAATCTCTTAGCCCTTTCTACCAGGGACATGTGTCCTCTGAATTTATAACACAGGACAGCATTTGTCATTTGTAGTCATGTTACTTCATTTAAACAATGTCCAGAATATAAATGTTTTACATAAACATTCTTTCAGAAGCACTATCATTTTCTGCAATTTTACCCTTTAACGAAATTGTATTGTGAAACCAGAGAGGAGGGAATAAACACTTTAGTTCTGTTTCTCTCTTTTTCAAAAGCATTCAAAGACTAAAATGTATCATAACTATTTTAAAGGAGTAAATGGTATGTTTCATCTTAATAATTAGCAGCTGCATAATCTGCTGTATGGGTGGACCTCGTGTTGTGATTTACATAGCAATGAGTAGAACTTCTTAGCTCCTATGTGTTTAAAGTCTTTTTTTTTTTTTTTTTTTACGTCTGCGTAACTTCTGTGTATGCCCCATTTTCTTGCAGATTTTATAGGAACTGTCAGGGAAGCAACTAACAAACATTGTTAAACTGTTTCTAGAGAAGGAATAAACAAGCCATTAACGTTTTCCACATGGTGCTTGCTGTTTGACTCCCAATTTACTTACAATACAGATTTCCTGAAATTCATATACTTCCCTAGGATATTTAACTAGCAGTGTCTACTTAAATACATTTAGGGTCAGATACACATCAGTCAACAGTTTACTGTGATAGTTTCATTTTGTATGCTGCAAACTTAACAGATCTTTAATATATGCTCCCAAGTAATTTTTACATCCTAAGAAATTACTTCTTTTTCCACATCTTGAAAAAGCAAAAATATTTTGCATTGACCTGTGGTTTGAAGTACTTCTGGACTTTTTTTCTTAGTTTTGTTTGCTATCTGAAGTGTTTCCAGGCACCAGGAACAAGGGTACCAATCTTTTAAATGTGTTTGGTAAATCTGTTATCTCTTTCTCAGAGTTTTTATTACTGCCTGTTCTAATCCAGTCTCTTGGATTAGGTGTTCTGATCCTCACTTAACTATTAGCCAAATTCATTTCTGTCAAACATCCAGCACTTTAAATGCTTCCCCCCTTTCCCTCCTCCCATAATTTCACAGTCTCAGTGCTACAGTATGTAGTCTTAATGCCACTTTAGTTAAATTCTGCAGTTGTTTTCTATTCCTCTTTATCCTGGATTAGAATATCATCCTCATCACCAATTGATCGTGGCTTTACTTTTTACACACAACCCAAGGAAGTATTCTCCCCATAGAGAAGCCATTGTGGTACAGTCAAATTTCAAATAACTTGGTGTAATGTTAAGTGTGTCAGAGCTAACTACCTGGGTTCAGTATGTTCTGATGGTGATTGCATCCTTTTTGCAAGATGATGTGACTATATTTAAAAAAAAAAAAAACTAACTAAACTTCTGCACATAGCAGCACTACACAAACAGAAGAATGAATTTGTAATAATCCACTTTCCATTGCATGTGAATTGTGACTTTAATCACACTTATGTACACATCTTCTGATTTAAACGTTCTTCACAATTACTCCAGGAGGAGCGTACAGAATGGATAAGAAGCTTTTCCATTACCAGCATTGCGGTCGATAGGCTTAGTAAACCAGCTGGAGTAGAGGCTACACATTTTGTACACAAGCATCTTTTCTTGCATTCTCCACGCCTCCTAAGAACATTAAGCCTCTCAAGGTTAGAGCTGCTCCAGGAACCTTTACCCAAATTATACACTTCCTTTTTCTGAACTGTGGCTTAGACTTTCAGTAAACCCATTACCACAATCAGTGAGAAATTTGGTTCCACTAAAATAGATTAGATAATTAATTCATATGCAGTTAAAACTGTTTTACTCCTTTTATCTTAAAACGTGTGGTATTATCTTACAATTTTGACTTGTTTATTGTATCAGTAAAGCTTTGGATTGCTTGTGTAAGTCCATGAATTGCATTTTTCTTTTGTAGTTTACATGATGAGTGACAGGCTCTTAAGCAACTTGGATAAACTTATGCTCGAGTTCGGTAGGTCATTATATCATATATTTTTTAACTGAAAATTACTGCTGCTGTGCATATAGTGATGTTTTCAGCTTTTTACAGTTACATTAAATTCAAACAAGTAAATCTATAGTATTAAGGTTTGGGTGATTGCCTACAAAATGTTTTGTTCACTGTGAGGTTATGAAGCAGGGCACTATCAATTACTTAATGGCAAAACTGCTTGTCTGAAGGGGTAATTTTAGATATCTCGTTAAAATCTTTGTTTATTGGTGTGTGCAGGTAATATTGCACAACATTTATTTCACAGTTTATTGTAGGTAAATGTGAAAAAGCATTTATTTTTCTTTTCAGTTTTCCAGCTAAAGCAAACTTCTTATGCAAAGGAACATGTTAATCAACAGATAAATTGTGAGTAGTGATAAGTTATCATTTTAATAATCATTTTATTTGTATCACTGAGTACACTGCTTTTGTTTCATTAGTCCTGGTACATGTTCTGAGTTGCGGGGGCGGAAGCAAGCTTAATAATGAAAGCTGTCCAGTGTCCTGCTCTCACCCTACCTCATCTTTTGCCATCAATACTTGGTGATTCTCCCTAGCAGACTCTGCTTTTGCTTTCGACTCTTAGCTAATGCTGTTCAGCTGTCTCATGGACAGCCAGTTTCATGCTGCGCCATTTCCTGCTCTTACTCTGTGGCTCCTCACAGTAACTGGCAGTTCTTTGATTCAGCTGTGCTTGCTCGATACATCTGCCACTTGCCTGCCTTTCTTTCTTCATGGTTTTTGTGCTTCCCAGATTTGGACCTCTGCCTCACTGCTTCTTCTCCCTTTCTGTCTTCCTATAATAATGAAAGTTCTCTCAGTTGCTGTGTCCTACTCAAGCCTGGTTCTTCTTTTCTGCAGTCAAGCAGCAGGAAATTTTATTCGGAATCCAAAACAGTAATCCCAATGGGAAAGTCTTGCTCCACATGCAATTCTTTTTACCTAGGACTAAAAACCAGCATATTAGATCTTAGATCTTGACTGATTTGTTTTACCACATTGCTATGTGCATCACTCAGTTACGGGAATGGCTATAGAGGAACTATTCTTTAGATGACCTGAGGACATCAGTGCTCATCACTGGTACCCCATAAGTAGAAACTGAAGTTCATACCCTTAAAGAAGAAGAATAAGAGAGCATTTGGGTCTGATTGGTGTTCCTGTATTTCTAATAATCTTGATTTATATGTCAAAGCAAGTACTTATATATTTAGAGGTTTATCAATATTAAACTGAAGTATTTTAAACTTTAAAACATCTATAACATTAAATCTGTTACATCTAGAATTCTGTATTAACTCTTTGGTCATGTAATTTAAA